CTTAGTAGAGATTTTTATTTCTTTCTCTTTAAAACTAACACTTTGGGTACGAGTGGTGAGAAAGAATCTTAATAGTCTACAACTTAGAGCATGTAAGTTGTGTGTATAAAGTCTACGAACAGGAGTGATGTGAGATGAATTCAATCAAATGTACTTAGTTTAAGAATTCAGGAAATTGTGAATTATATGAGTTCACAGTGGATCTGCAAAATATTTTTGAGATAACTTGCTCAGATATTTCGCAAGGACTTTCTCAGAACTTAAGAAAACAGTGAGCAGTGAGATAGGCCGATAGCTGTTTATGGCTTCAGGATAATCTTTTTTAAGTAATAGCTCCACCACCGCGTTCTTGAGACAATATGTGAACACACTCTGAGTTTTGCAGTTATTAATAAGTTTAGTCAATGCACACACAATAGTGTTAATAGTTTTCAACACTTCCACATTGAAACAGAATAGCTTGACTCGTTCTCAAACTCACAACAGATATTTCTTTAAGCATAAACTAGTTATGACATAAAATACCATAGTTTGTTATTCACGGATAGAAGGATGACATGATTTTGAGACCAGGTAGATTGTTAACTATATCAGATGCAATGTGATTCTGTGTTTAGAATTTATGGTTCTCCAACTGAAGTAAAATTTAGTGTGAAAGATTCTAATGAAGGTATGACTTTTTGACTACAACGTATTACTATTGAAAGTATCTAGCTAAATGTTTCAGTTTATATGTATGAAGGATGTTTTATCTCCACTCATAGATTAGACTATTTGAGAAATAAATGAAGCTAGAGAGACTCTAAAAAATAACTAATAAACTGGAGAGCATAACTATAGCCCCACCTGCAATTTTCATTTTTTTTGTCGTTCACTACAATTGTAACTTAATGTAACTTACAAGAGTGATAAAAAAGACAAAAACAATAAGTAGGAAGTGTATTTGAATTTATTTTTAAACAATTAATGACTTAGGTATTGAAAAAAAAATGTAAAACTGAATGGTGCATAACTATAGCCCCAGTTGAAATAAAAGAAATTAAAAAAAGTTTGCCATGGCCCTACTGTCAAAACATAATTTCACTTTCATTAAATGGTATTTCTTTGTGACAAGAATCGTGAGAATGTCTCGTGGAAGTTATTTAAGTAATTTAGAAAATCGTTACAATTACAGGGAGCGACAAAAAATTGAAAATTGCAGATGCGGCTATAGTTATGTTCTCCAGTTTAGTTTGGTGAAGTATAGCCGAGTTAAACACAAAATTTTATGGTAAAATGATTTTCTGAGTGTGTTTTTTCATTGCGCTTTGTCGATTTCCATAGGTCAAGCTAAGGCAGTATTGTATTCGAATTCGTCTGCTGACTAGGTACTTCCAAGTATTCTCGATGTTTCATGACCCCTGGACTACGAAAAAATAGGTCTCTCGTTTCCGTCTGTCAGTCTGCTGTTTGTCGCCTGAGTCTGTGTCAATCCTCAAGTGAATAGTACAATGCAATTTCTAGCAATAAGAATACAGGTTTTGCTTACTAATGCAAAAAATATATTCGTGTAATATTTAACATTTAGTTTCATTTGATTTCACGACCAGATTGTATTATTACAAGTGCGCGGAATTCTATCTCAGTGCTGCAATTCCCCAGTTGAAGTAAGGTATGTTTTACGGCGAGTAGCGGGGACGCTTTGATCTGGTCCACAAGGTCGTAGCCAGTGCGTCTCTAGGAGTGTTTACAGCTAAGAAAAAAGCTACTTCTATATTACTTCAAATAATAATACTCGGTGCCCTTTATATATTTTCAACCATAGCATTTGTGATCTTGAAATATTATATTATGTTTATATACTCCAAAAGAAAAATATATTTGTAATCAAAGTATCGACGCGGCAGCACTGGATCGAGCGCATGAGATATTATTCCACGCGTTGATTATTACACTTCTTATATGCATCTAAATAAATAGAACTCATTTTAATGAATGAGGATGCAAGAATTGAGTATATACGGTCGTGATAGAATGAAATAAAATTAAAAATTGTGTATGCACGAGGGAAAGACCATAAGTAGAATGTGGAAAATTAAAACAAAAACTAAAACAAAGAATAGACAACCCAGGAAACATGAAGCAGTATTTTTATTATAATCCCAAGCGTGTTAGAAAGTTTATAGAGGAAGACTTGAGATAAAAAACAACGTACTTTTTATGACCATCAAAGGTCCACTCAAATGAAGGCAATAAAATTTTATTGCATAATTATGAACCATTACTTTAAATGAACATATAACTTGACTAACATTATGACGGAATATTTTACAGAAATTATTTGGTACAATACAAGATTTTTTTAAGTGTTGTTTTTTATAACATCAATTTTACTTTCAAAACAACAATTATTATTATTTTGGCTTTGTCACCGCTGTCAGAGGCAATATAAATTAGGATGGACGACTGTGATCTTTAAAGGCAATGAAAAGATAAACAACAGACAAGGTAATTTTTATTTGGAAGATTTTTTAAATTTAAAACGAGACTTTGTAATTAATCAAATTGTTCTTAGTTCTGCATTTTTTTAAAATGTTTACATAAATATTTGTGGTGAGATAATGCAAGTTCGGATTAGCATTATATCCAAAATGCATGGTAAGAGTATAGGAACATATCTTTAGCATGTTTATTTCACGTAATTGTAAAAAAACAGTGCTTATTTTACAAGTTTTGTCACTTTATCACCTAGGGAAGTTTCTAGGTCAAGTTGAAATTATCGCTTTTTTACTAAAGATTACACTCCATGTTGTCCGTAGTCATGCAGTTCAAAGAATTGGATTGATGAATTCATGAAATCGAAATCTTTTTGGAAGAAATACTTGACCTACTACCTTGTCATAAATTTATAAATCAAATAATTTGCATGGGTACGTTTGGGTTACTTAGATAATGAGGTTTTTATAATAATTGGAGGTATTATTAACAGGCAACACCGAAAAACAAGTTCTAAAACATTTATCTTGTGAGGCACTATTATGTATGTGAGTATGTATTAGTTTTTCAAAAATTTAGATAAGCATATACGAGTATTAAGTGTTTCTGAAGTGCTTTTTCCAATCCTCGTTTCGTCTAAATGTGTAGAAAATTTTCACAGCGTGTGGTAAAACCATTTGTTGGCTTAGAGTAATTTAACAAAAGATACCTCCCAAATATTCATGTTATTCTACATGGTTTGCCGAAACAAGCATCTGGGAAGTAGGCGCTTTTGAAAAAATTAATTGCGAATAGAAGTGAATCATTGATTTTGTTATTATTAATATTATTATTGTTAATGATATTATTGTTGTCATAGAGCGGAGACAAGAGCCTGTTATGTTGAGCACAAGGAAAACAGGGCCAGTGCTAGCTGTTCACTACGGTAAGGGGGTGTTCTACGTTAGAACGATATAGAGGTTGTTCTGTAAAAAAGTGGGAAATCGCTCGCGTGTTGGACCATCGATGTGAATTACACTCAAATGACAAGTCTAAAAGCACATTATTTTGTACATTTTAAATATAATCTACTTAGTAAGATTTTGAGATGACATAATTAAATTTTTAGTGGGGATTAGCACACAAATTTTGGTTAGCGTTTCACCATCTCAGTAATTCTAGGCAGACGACAGATGACGTCTAGAAACATTCTTTAGTTTATGCTTAGGTAGTAATAATGGAGCAAAAGTAAAAGATGAAATTTTAAAATAAGGAAAAATTTATATAACAGATTAAAGGAGGGAATAATATAAATATATTTTTTAAAATAAAATCTTAAAAACAATAAACGAATACGTAGTAATTGTTACACTACCTTTTGGATCATTGATTTGAAAGCAGAAGCTAACTAGTTTTAATGCAGCGCCTCTGAAAATGTGAAATTTGTATGAGTAATAGAAAATTGTGAAAAAGACGGTTTCAAAAAAAAAACTATGTGTAAGAAATAATCTCGAGAAGGAGCAGACAGTACATTAAAGTGGTAAGAAATTTACTGTAAAAAAACACCAAACAATGAAAAGGGATTATTATTTTATAGTTATAATTAAACATCGACAGATTGATTCTTGTATTAACAGTAAATCTAAAGATTCTTAAATGATTTTCTAAAATAGGGCATGAAACATCAAAACCTCAATTATTTGAAAATTCGGAATAACATTTGAACTTTTTTAATGTAAGGACAATTGTCATATTGATGGCAAATGATGGATGACTAACGATATCCTAAAGTTTTGACGCTTAAAAACACAAGGCAAAAAGTAAACTCAGACAAAATTTGAATTTACTGGTAGACTCTCCAAAGAAAAGCAGAACTGAGATAATTGATCAAAATCATCGTTAGCTTCCCGTAAATGCTTTTCTTTGTAATGACTTATTTATTTTGTGCGATAATAATCTCTTGTTGATGGTATAATGCCGTAGCGTGAAAAGCATCGGCAGAACTCAATTTGTCGAAATACAATATTTATATGATCGAATCGGTTTTTCTTTAAGTGAATCAGGAGGAAGCAATTTCGTTCAAATTTTTTTTTTATATTCAGGAAAATATATTTTGGTTTCAATACAACATCTTTGTGTGGTATTAGTTTTAAGTTTTTGCCACGGATGAATCGTAAATGTACAGTGATTGAAAACTGATTGTATATTTGCATGCATGGGTAATTAAATCGAGGAAACGAAAAAAAAGTAGCATAACGTAAATCAAACAAATTGTTTTGAGTTAGGGGAGTATCACGTACGTGTTTTATAACAATTCTTTGGAGAGCTTCAAGTGGTCGTTGTTCTAAACAAGTTTCCGATAAAAATGTTATCTCTCCAGTCAGCACGCATCAAGATCATGAAGACAAAGATTTAAGATGACAAAGAGCCGTCGAGTGGAGTTTTTAAGTCATGCAGTGAACGCCCACTTTCAGTGCTAAACAGTCGTCAGAACTTCAGTTTTGTTTAAAAGTAACGTTTATTTAGTAAAAGATCGAAGCTCTTACCTCTTACATGATCTGCCCATCAAGTGTAAAAACGCACGTTGTCGATTTACTTTTCATGTTATCACGCATCACCGTCACTGCGACGTGGTCCTGCAAGAGTTGTGCTGTCGGCAGGACATCCCTAGCTACTGGGGTGCAGCATCCCTTAGCAGTTCTTTGATATGACGGAGGTTCGCGAACGGATCCGAGGAAAGCCAGTCAATACCCGGTCGGAGACTCGATCCGGAGGGCGGACCGGAATTATCGCTAACACCATGAATGAAGGATTCACCAACAGCAATGCGATATGCCGCACCACTTCGGATTGATTCCCGTATTAATTAATTATGGAAAGTTACTCCTACCCAGTTGTTATCTACAGCGGAAGGACACGTAATTGATGGCTTTGGAAAGCCAAAAATCTACTTCCTGTTATTCTCGCTGGATCAAGATCGTCCAACAGGCTACAAATACATGCAGGTACAAATTTTGGATTATTTAACATAATGAGATAATTGTAAAAAGGGACATAACCAGAATTGACATATTATACATATACATATGTACATATGTGTATGTATATAATTACAAAAAAATTGGCAGCTAAAACGATAAATACATATTTAATGCAAATATTTACAGTACATTAATTAACTGATAAAGTCACAGATTCTTGGGATCAAATTAACTAATCCAAACGATTAGCACCCATTGTAAATAGTACGTATTTAATTTTTTATAAACCTTATCGTCAAACAAATTTCCTCGTCAGTTATAATTTTCAAATTTTACTCTTGCAGTCGCTATGTGATAGATTTGGTACTACGGTGATTTTACTCTCAGTAAATGATGAGTAACGGTGTTTCATATAAAAAGCACATATATTAAAAATTCCATATAATACGTTCCACATCTTAAACAATGCATAACGCTTTTTCTTCAAAAATGATTGAAAGGATTGAAATTCTGATATCTTAATCTTATTTTTGCCATTGTCGGTGTTAAATCATTTTGTATAAAAACCTTGCGTAAGAGTGAATTCCTCTTTAGGGTTTATGTCTAAATCAATACAAAATTTTCTAATAGCCTCGGTTGAGTTGTTTATCCTGTCTCCTTTTTTTGTGGAGAAAGAAAAAAAAAAAAGAAAAATGGAAAATTTCATGCTTTAAAATTAGATTCTATAAAAATTTTTATATAAGATAATTTTAGTGCTCTCAGCCGTTTCATTAATAATTTCATATTATACGTTATATTTTATATATTGTTTTACAAAACAAAAGCTTTTAATTTAGTTTCTGAGTCAATTCATGGATGTTTATTTTTTATATACTTATGTATTTTTGCTTTTCGACAGTTAATTACTCCCTATTGTAATAGGGTCATTTTCAAGAATAGTTTTTACTTTATATCTATATGCAACTACCGTCTTTTTACAAAAATAAAACATTATTCCAAAATATATTATACATATTTCTTTCGGTTACAAATAGGTAGGTAATAATTAAAGTGTTAGAAATATAAAACAAAATTGTTTACCGTAGTTTTGAAGCCACACAAAGTATTGAAAAATTCTTTAACAGACACTATTGACAACAACAAAATTCGTCGGTTGTAATGCTGCGAAAAATTTTTGGCAATGATTTCTTAAAACAAACACTTTGACTGGGAACAGAACACGTTGTATATGTAGCTTCTTGCGTAAATTTTCACATCAATTTAACGTTAAAAATTTGGTCTACATTTTTTTAGGTTGTACTTGACATCATTAACTTATGTAAGTATATAATATACATACTTCAGTTTGGATGTAGTGTAACACAGTGGTGTGGTCCCAGGAATTTAGAAAATGAAATGAGGCGTTCATAATTTAATCAAAAGCATTAACTTTCTGATCCATTAGTTTGAGACGTCATCAATATTCTGTCGGGACGATTACACAAATGTAGTTTGGCGTTTTACTATTTACATGTTATTCTTCAGATACATCTAAAATATCAGTAGTCGCTTCGGAAATTGTCTACCAAAAGCGTTGCGCATAGTAGACAGGCGACAGATGACAGACAGACCGAAATGGAAGATCTTTATTATTTTTTTATTTATTTTTTATTATCTCGGAGCTATGAAAAAATATATGTATATATAAAATTGTACAAAACTTTTCTAGAATTACAGAACATTTTACTTTAAACAACATTTATTGTTTAAAATTGTTACTAAATGTTTTCTTTAAAAATCAGTTTGGAATACTTGCGGTTTAAAATGGTAAAATTATGTAAAATAGTGTGTTCTCTCGTTGGAGATAATTTGATGTGCCCCAGTTTGATCCTATGAAAAACTTTATCATAATGCAGCACCGTTCCAGAACTTTAACAAGTTTCTACATTCTAATAAAAAAGTGATGCTTTTTGCACAGACACATTTGGTGGAGGCGCCGGTTTCTCAATTCACTTGAGTGTTCTTTTTGTTACAATAAATAAAGTGCTGACTCTAAAAATATTTACAATGCTGTAGGGCAAGTAATAGCAATTTACATGACCTTTTAAAACAGTTTATTGATCAAGAAAATGAAAACATGTTGCTCCAGATTGAGTTGTCACATGTTGGATACATTTCAGTGCAATTATGTTGTTTGTTTGCGGCCAAATCGTACTCGTCTTTTTCTTCGTAACCTTCATCTTCGTGATGTCTCACACTGAAAACAAACATTCTGAGAGTCTGGTCAATCCGAGGCAATTAAGGGTCGATTTTGTTGCGAATGTCTCTCGCACTTAAAATTGCGAAGAAGAGAAACTGAAAAGTAGGAAAAGATTTATGTAGAGCATACCTAAAGATAGCTTTAATAATTTCTTCCATAAAGGTGCCCCGTTCTATGGTTGCTTTGCTGACTTCGCAAACGGCCTTTAGTAAACAAGATCTGCCATCCTTACTTAGTCTGTAAATAACTTTTGTTTAAACAAAGACAAAGTCGCTAATACAAACAAGGTTCATATTAAATTAAATGTCATCAGGCAACATCCAAACTAAGTTCTGATGGTAACGAGTTTGAAAAATTCGCAAGCATTTATTTTTATAATTCTTATAATAATAATATAAGAGGTTTCAATGCCAGTTTTTGTAGATTCCAATTTTTTATAGTTTCAGTTGTGGTATATGTTACTGTGTCGAGTAGGGAAAAAAGATATCGAAATATGTTATTATACTTATAAAATGTAATAATTAATTGTTGTTTAGGATGTAACAGAGTACAATCTTGAAGTTTGGTGCTACTTTAATTTATATGATTTTATTCTATTTTAGAACCATAATCTTATTTATAAGCACCCAAATGCGGGCTTAAATTGGCCTTTTTAGCACAAATCTGTCAAAAATTGCTAAGCAACAATTGATTGTTCATTTACACTAATCAATTAATTATTCAAACACGCTTCGATATTCAACGTTTTTCTTAAGTTGGAAAAATGATATTTTATCAAATCATTACCTGACCGACTTCAAATTCTTCTAAACTTTCGTTTGAATGAACGTTTTCCGCTGCTTTAATTTACATTTTGAAAAACGAATTATCAAATAATCAACGTGGTATCCATAACAACATCAAAATAATAGCCAGCTATGTATTAAAATTCGCATCGGCACAATTCACACAGTCTTGCCGAAAATACTCAATATTTCGTTAAAAATAGTTTAGAAACTAAAATGGAATAAAACGTTGTATGTACCACGTGCATAATTGTCGATTGTGGCACTCGGGAAATTAAAAGCCCTCCTTCGTCGGGCTTTAAACATTCCCTCGTGCCACAATCTCCCTGATTATGCCCTTAATACATAAATAACTATTATAGTCCTTGTAAAAAACAATGCATTTTAAATCTTTGTGTTTTGCACCTTGTGCATATAGATAGTGATACAGACGAAAAATTTTAAGGGTATCTTTCTGACGGAAAAATAAGAAAAATTTCAGATGTACGATTATAAAGTAACAATTAAAATAAATAAATAAATAATATAGAAAAGCTTCTCTTATAACATAACAGTTCTTAAAAACGACCATTATCAACTGTAATCTATGCTTTTATACCCTGCTGCATTGATGGGTGCACGGGTTGGAAAATCTCGGAGGATGTCTTTTTTCACAAGATGCGAAAATACGTTTCGTAACTCATTTTTAATAGTTGTTCTATAAACTAGCCATTTAAGTTGATATCAGAAGAAAAATTCAGAAGTGTACACCCCTGGCCTCTTCGATCTCCAGAATTAATTCCTTTATTTTTTTTTTCTTTGTTGTTACTATAGATCTCTAGTTGATACCTACAACACCAACTAAACATAATGACGAAGTATGTATTACAGTTGACGATAGTCGTTTTTTTATTATTATTATGAATTTATTTTTTTGTAAATTGTTCTTTCTGAAAAAAAAATGTATTAAACATCATGTAACTTTAAAATCATGCGTTTTTACGCTGGTCAAGTTTTTCACGTATATTATACCGCGTGTCTGGAAAATGGCGGAATAACTCTTGAGTACGTTATATACGGGGGTTTCGGGAGTCTCGAAAAAATAATAAAAAAATTCTTTATGATGTAGATTACGAAAAAAACGTAATTTTATAAAAGTAAAATTGGCAACACTGCACACACCTAATCCGTGAATACTTCCGGCTTACTTTCTGGTTTCTTAGTAATGATAGTGATTGAAATCCACCTTCGTTTTATATCAGGCAAACATTGTTGTTAAATGGAATTTTATCAAGTTATTGCAAAAACAACATAGCCATATCTTTGTGCATTCTAACGGAAATGGTAATTAAACATGGTCATGGGCGAGAAAAATATTAACTAAAAGTTTTACTACTAGTTATTCTGATAATGAATGAGTTATTTAGTTGTTAAACGTAGCAAATGAACCAATTTTAAAATCATTATAACTCCACCAAAATGTGAGAAGGATTTTTTTTACTATTTTTCCCAGACTCACCAGTTGATTGTTATGAGCGTAGCGGAGAGTTAATCCGACATTTTCCAGACACCCGGTATTATAATGCTTTAGAAACATCTACTAGTTCTTCAAATTTCTTTTCAGTGCTTCATTTTAAAATACATTTCGTGTCTTCATTTTCTAGTTTCTGAAGAACTTTGATGGTGAAGACTTATGTTAATCATTAATGAAAATACCTGCGATTAAAATAGTAAGAATTTTAAAAATACTTATTAGAAAAAATTGTACCATATGTAAATAGATTTTATTCATGTTTGTTTATTCACTTGCCTTTACTGATTTTTACAGTAACAGTTGTTGTTTCTGCTTTTCCTTTCGTTGACTCAGTACATTTTTATCTGCTAAATTTTATATTAAACTGCTGAGATCAATGTATATATTTAAATAAATTTTCTGTGCACTTAATTAAATACATAAATCATTGTACATGCAACAGTGTTTGGACGGTGCTAAGATTACCATAATTCTAGAAAGTTGTTCAAATTTACTTTGTATTTTAGGAAAGAGAGGTGACATGTGAAAATAATAAGTAATGGTAAATCATGGACTATAATTTAGTGCATACGTGATTCAGAGACGCTTTTTTGTTAGTTTTATTACCCAAGAATTCTTTATAGCGACTGCTGGAATATCAAAAGTTAACTTTTCCACACAGTAGCATCGGTCGTAAATATACATCTTAGAGTACATAATGTTCTCTTATAACTTCAGTAAAGAAAATTTCTTTAAGGAAATTTTTTTGAAGATACTTTCAAGTGTTCTTCTACGGCGATTCTTACACCATAGTTAAAAATATGTCTGCTTTCCATGAATAGATTTATTTTGAAAACTAACAAAATTATTGACTACAGGAACACCGTGCCAAGGAATATTATAGTGGTTTTATGATTTTGACTCCTTCGCTAGCCTTATAAACAATAATGCACCTGATTAGATGCGATTTGATGACACTGTCCCCAACTTAAACAGCGGATATTTATTGTATTTGGCTAGCCCGCTTCACTTCTCAACAGTATAGGTTTTTCATAGCGATATTAGTTCATAAAACCATTATAGTTCTTGGCACATTATAATCATCGAGTTAGAAGTGACCACTTGACAATATTTAATAGTTTGAAATTAAAAAATTTTGCAAGCTGAACAAATAGATATACTTTGGAAATTAGACATTATTTCCATTCTTTTAATTGGATTCGTAAGAAGCTTTTTACGTTACAAAATTGAAACAGTGCCCATCTTTTTACCATAGACCAGAGTTATTATTATAGAAAGAAATACTTGGAAAGTTTTATAAAGTGGTAAGTTGCTGGTTTAAAAAGGAGAAAATCTCTATATTATTTTCTCCAATTCTTAACAGTTGATGTAAAATTCAATTAAACATTTTTTTTTTATCATTTCATGCATAATATGGAATTTTTTAAATCAATTAATATTAAATAGCATTAGTCATTATTAATATATTTTTTACATATATTAAATTGGAATGTTTAGATAACATTAGGTAATTTAGTTTATGATTTAGGTCATGGCTGAATCGTTAGAAGTAATAAAAAAAGTTATTTACCCAGTAAACAATTTTTCAATTTTTGTATACAAATCCCTTCGTGTCCTCCTATATACTTTATGGTAAACAGGATGCAAATAAGTTGTAACAGGTTCACTGTGAACTTTTCGTCTCTTTTGCTGAACATTGTTTGCAGCTACACTTGTTCCCTTTACTGTCCTGTATCTGTAAAATTTCGACATAATTATGTTGTGTAATTGCAGAGTTAAACTTTATATTACTGGTTGTAATTCCTATTAGACATCGGATTTGAAGAACTGTAATAATTGTCCTTCTTTTTATCGTGAACACTTGTAAAACCCTGATTTGTCGCGCTTAGCTTAGAGTATCCTTTGATGGTGGTGTAACCAATTGCTGGTGGTTTATTGATGAGAAATGGATTGTAATAGGTTTTCGTGTAAGTGACAGACGTTGGTGATTTGGTATTTTGTAACGTCCAGCCACCGGATGTGTGCTTTTCGGGCTTGTCAATACGATGCAGGAGTTCCGACTGTCTTCTAAAGGGCACAAAAGGATCGTGCGGTAACTCCCATGCCAACGCTACAGTGGAACCCACAGTGAAAATTTGACCCATACCAATGGAAGGCGTAGTAAAACAGAAAACTGAAACAATGTAGAATTTTTTTATAAGATTACGTTTTTGTATCAATTAGATTTTTTGAGGTATTTTTATTGCAATATCGTGGTTCATATAATCTAAGGATACAGATTTTCCGTTTTCGTTTTTGTGTACTTGGTGTTCGATCCGTTAGACGTTTATTATGAAATAAATAATATGTATTTAGCAAAATTTTGAGAAACCATTAGCAAATTTTTGGTGGGAATTTTGAGACAAATATAAAAATTTATAACTATGCGTTTGGTAATTTCTGAGATTGCTTATCTAATAAATTTACCAGCAGACAATAAATGACAGACAGACAGGCAACCTAGATTTTATGGTCCGGAAGTTATGAAATAGTGAGAAAACATGGACTTAAGCAGTGGTAAAAAGGATCTAACTTAAATAGTTCCTTAACTTACGTTCGAGAACTGAAAAAAATTACAAACGCAGTAAATTAAAAAAGCATAATGTGTAAAAATTTTACGGGAGTAGTAGTTGAATGTTAACATTTGAACATTTTATGTGTTTACTATTATTTTTATTGTTTTTGTTATCATTACAACTATATCTTATTAGGATAATGTTCTTTACAATGTCAATATGTATTTCGTTTCGCATATATAGAAAAACGGTATTTAGACAGGAGCTATAAAATTAGCTTATATTCGATCTGCAATATGTATGGACACGTAAGTTCGTTTTACATAAACTGTCTCTAAAACTGAATACGTCTCCATCGAACGGTTCTTGGCTACTATGTATAAGGCGAAATTTTAACAAGAATCTATGACCCATTAAGTGGATGAATATAAATATGTGTTTTCTTAAAAAATGGCGTAATTATTATAATAGAATTACTGGTAATGCTTCTTATGACAAGTGTATTTTTAAAATTCCAATGGGACGTTGCTACCTTATTCCTGCTACAGTCAAAGAGGTCAAAAAAATTACAGTGGTGTACATCTGCGTTACAATATTTTGTGAGATAAACAGCCATACGCGCGTTGTTGTGGCATAAATTAAATTAAATCTTAATACCTTAATGTACATTTTTGAAGAAGTATTTCTTGAAACGAGCGGAAAGAAATGAAATGTTTCGCACCATCACAAGAGCAGATTTGAACCACACACCCTTAAATCTGTCGAACACCGAAGAAATCCACACCCCCCACACAATAGACAAAATAATAAGTGGGCTAAAACAAAAACAACTAGATGGAAAATTCTACAAAGACTTAGAAGAAACTCATGTCAATAAGAAGATGTCATTGATTTGGTTAAAAAAATCAAGTTTGTATGCCGAAACAGAAGGATTTGTGTTTGCTATTCAAGACCAAGTAACCAATACCAAGAATTACAGAAAATACATCATCAAAGATCCGAACATAAGAAACGACTGCTGTCGCCTCTGCAAAGCAAAACCTGAAACGATCCAGCACATAATCTCTTCCTGCAGCATCCTAGCACAAACTGACTACAAAGCTAGACACGACAATGTCGCCAAAATCATCCACAAAGAATTAGCAACACTTATGAACTTAATCGAAGATACGACACCCTATTACACTTACATTCCATCTCCGTTTCTTGAAAATAACAAATACAAATTATACTGGGATCGCACAATACTTACAGACTTAAACATTACAGTTAACAGACCAGACATCATACTTATCAAAAAACACACGAACGAAGCCATTCTCATTGACATTGCTGTTTCTAACACAAACAACATTATTCAAACATACCACACCAAGATTTCAAAATATCTACAATTATCGATAGAAATGAAATCCATGTTGAATCTTAAAAAAAATTCAATTCTACCCCTAGTTATCTCTAATGTAGGTGTAGTTCCAAATAGCTTAGTTGAGAATTTAAAGTCTTTGCATTTGAATGATTCAATAATTATCAAAATTCAAAAAGCTGTTTTGTTAGGAACATATCATATTGTTCGTAAGTTTCTTGAACAGTCTGATCATGTCAGTCAGATTAGATTAGCACCAGTAGGTCAGAGTAGTGTAGGTCACTTTCCAAGTGATGCGCGGATAAATGGTCGGTAGTTACGCTAGACTTTTGGGGATGGGGTGAGATTAGAGAATAATAGCAGACTAATTTGTATGCTGTAATTCTAAAATCTCGAAAGTTGTTCTGTTAATCTAATCAATGCATATCATTACTTGGTCTTAGTACCCGTAATGATAGAAGTCTTGCCTGAATGCCGGTCATTTCCGGGTCAGTGGTGGGTCTTAATCATATATAAATATTCCATAAAAAACTAAATTGTAGGTTACCCGGCAAAATAGAATATCTTCACTGTCTGTATGCCACTCAAAGGACAGTACAACTTTAGTGTGTAACGCTTTTTCTATTTCAAATAAGCAATAACTAATAAGTGATGAAATATTGAAGAATGCGCGATGTGACTGTATCTTGAAAACGATAGAAATATTGAAATTCTATAAATCCCATCGTTTATAGCTTGAAGGGAAAATCTTAATTTAGTATACTGCAGTGTGACGCACATATGGCGTCGGCGGCGTGACGCAAACATATGTTTTTTGAGTTGAAATTTTTTTCAACTTATTTTGATAGACTATAAGACTGCCATTAAGGTAATATACGAATTTTTAAACATACAAAATTAAAGGTGAGTCAAATAAAGGACTATCACTATTTGACGACAGTTCGAACATATAATGAAATAACTACTTTTGCAACAGATCTTGTTGATTATTATGAAAAATAATATGTGAGAATTTTTCAAATTGTAAACACTATTTTTAATTTTTTTTGGCGTTATCACAACATTCATATCATTTCGCTAGAACAATTCAACTTTCAGAAAATTTCTTCCGAATAAGGTGTTTGATATTTGGAACTCCCTGCCTTATTAGTCTGTAGTCGACGTTCTAGACTTTTGCAGCTTAAAATGGCCTATGATGGTTTCACTTCAACAACTTATATCCTATTTGTCTATTATAATATTGATATACTTTAAAGACCATTCTCTGCCCAATTTCTCGTTTTAATAATAGTAATAACAGTAATTAAATAAAACACGGGATTTTCTTAATACCGGATGATCCAAGGTGTTACTGATAAGGGGAGGCTGTGATCAGCGCACGTAAAGGATGATTGATAGAAAGTTAACATTTATGGGGAAAAACAGGGCTAGCTTGCATTTATCAGTCACAATCTCACTGTGAGAAGCTTTAGTGATGTGAAGAATATTATTTATATAAATTATTTATTAAATATGTATTATTTATGGATTAACATACGTGAGACTACACTGTATTTTTTATTTTTTTTTATTTAACTTGCATTTTGTAATACTTACATAAGTATATTATACTGTCCTGTGATTGGATAATAATCTGTTGGGAAATAAAGTCTTATTATTAATATTATTTATTTTGAAAATATTTGGAACCTTAGATCATATAATAAATAGATACCAATACTCAAACTGAAAGGTGTGACTAGACATGAAGCTATCTGTTGTCGTTTTCTACGTCCAGGGGAGTAGTATAATGCTATCCTTGTGTGATCACCACATCTTCATCTTTGTTATATGCATTTCATCTGTATATGTCTATTTCACTTCCATCCTTGTACCGCACCAGCGCAACAAATCGCTTTTGACAGATGTTTCTTCTAACCTCTCTTTCGAGTTGCTGTACAAAAAACAATTTTAGAATTTAGAACAAAGATCCTATTTTAAGTGATGTAGTCATAAAGGATCACAATTGCTGCCAAATAATTTACTATTCCTTTCGTTATCTACTGCGAATTATTTATAAAATCAAGCTGTCAACATCTTTCTTCCGAAGTTAGTTCAGACATACTTCCTAAAATTTAGGCGCGCAAAATTCAAATAGTGATCAGGCAAGGATAGCTTCATTGTAATCCCTCCATGCACGAGAGAGATGTGTGACAGTAGGATGTCGTCACAGGCTGTCCTAGGGAAAGAACACGGCATGGTGGTATCTATTTATTGTATGATCTAAGTTTGGAACATACTGTACAAAAAAAAATTGAATATTTACACCCTCTGAAGTACAGTCCAGCTATTTTAACTTCTTCGAAAAATTATAAATTTAAAATAACCCTTAATAATTTAAAGTAGAGAAATGTATGGATTGCTAAAAGTAAACCATAGACAGTAAAGAAAAAACTAAAGTCGCGATCTTTTCTATAGAACCACTCCCTAGTGTAAATTTTCAAAATTTGTTTGGTGTAAGTGACCTTGACGGGTTTCTGGGGGAAAACATATGTGTCAAAAATTTGACAGGTTAGATGGCCCCATTGTCAATGTAGATATTTTATTTGAATAAATACATGAACAGAACATACAGTCTGCACGGGATACAGTGCGGCATAGCTGAGGGCAACCGGAACATTCGTGTTGTGCTAGTTTCGATTGCCATATCAACTACCGCTACCAACCGCGTTCGGCGTAAAGTACTAGATGACAGGGCTACCAACTTGACTTTTTATCGAGTGGTTTCGTAGAAATGACCGCTACTGTATTGGCTACATTAGAAATTGAACCCCGGACCCTAAAAAATGCAAAGCTTCTGCGGTTGCCACTGGGCTATACTCATTGTTTCGTATGGTACGTATTATGTAAAAGAGCATTATTACGAGAAATTTTAAATAATAAAAATAATAATAATATTAATAAACAAAGTCAAGGCAAATCCATAAACTACAGGTATAGAAGTTTGTAATTTTTTAAAATTTATACGGCATGCATTAAGCAAAATGTTGAAGTGACGTCATCACTTTATTGGTGGAGATGGTTAGGCAAATTTTGGTTATAATTTTACCATTCACACAAAACTCCTAAAAATACATAGGTATAAAATTTGATGACAATAATTGGTCTGGTAGTTTCGGAGATTAACTGTCTAATAAAAATCGACATAGACTATAGATAGACAGTCGACAAACATACAGAAACGGGAAACTACTTTTTTCATACTCTAGGGGC